GGGCGGCATATGAGTTTATTTCGTAACAGTATACATATATACAGAATTCGTTATTTAGTTTTTAATTAGGTACATCAACTAAAACTAGGATGAACAGTCCTGAAGCATACGAAGCGTGAAGAAGCGAGGTAGACATTATTCAGTTACTTCACTTACTCTTTTTCCTTATTTTATATCTGCTACGAATAATTACATAATATAATCAAAAATGTTAATACGGATTATTAAAGTTAAAATGTTATTATTAGTTATTCAAATGTGAATTTTAAAATTGATTATAATCACTATATTTTTTTACGCTGAGTTTTTACTTCAGTGCTTTGAATAGTACTTATTGAATGGAAAATACAAAGTGTAAAATTACTGGCGATAATGTTACATTTTGCTCAGATTTTCTACCCTTACAAAAACAACTTAACTTATTATCTTATTAATATGATAAATTTCATTTTTCATTAAAAGGATCTTTGCATACATACGTATAAAAAACTGGTTGCCAACCAAATTATTAGATTTATACGGCCTACCTTTCTCTAAAAACATCCTAAAACGATAGGTGATAAGTGCAATGAATAGAGCCAGAACAGATACCCATTTTTGCAAAATCAGATAAAGAAATTTTATAACACTTAAACATGCTAAAAAACGATAGCTGCACGCTAACAGTTTACCAAGGGAAGTAAAATGAAAAGGTGTGGGTTTTAAGTCCAAAAGTTCTTGGAACAAAGTTTTATATCAGATGGCGAGAAAGAATTCAGCGAAAGGAGAATCAGTTTAGTACATACATGTATTTTATATTATCTTGGGCTGGACTGAACTGAAATTAACATTTTTTGGATCTTGTACCAGTCACAGGAAAGAAAGTAAACAGGAGAAATTTTATTCTGGGCCTTTCTAAAAAAATCTTCCTTCACCTGCATGCGAGAAACGTTCGGGAAAACTTAAACAATGCTATGTAACTAAATGCCGCAGCAAAACCATTCGATTGTGCAGTAAATGCAGAACCATTTTTATGTGGAAATTGCAATGCCGCGAAAGAATATCTCTGTATAAATTGCAATTGCATTTTTGTATTTTTTACACTTTTTCTAATCTATATTCAAATTTTTGTTCTAAAATGTTTTGAAACAAAATAATCTCTATAGTAAATTGAGTCTCCACATCATTTATTAGTGAAATAAAGTTCTAGCGATCAAATGGCTCCCTGCCGTCTTTAAAGGTATTAACCGAACTACGTCGTTCTAGTGTTAAATAATGCCGTTCTCTGCCACGCTTTTGCATGCCATAGCACACATTCTTATGATTTTCTTGAAACTGCTGACTTGACGAAACATTGGTGAGATCTTGTGGTTAAATAGCTGCATTTTAAAGAGTTCTTTTACTTATTCAGTGTTATACTTACTAGATCCATTAAATAACCATTTACTTTCAAGAAAACAAATATGATAATAACATAAGAACTGATAATTTGTTAGTATCAAGCTAAAATTTAGTCTTAAAAGTGCAAAAATATCAAATGATCTTGCAAAGTATGGTTTTAATTTAAGTTCGTCGTATACAATATTTCTGAGTTTTATAACTGAGAATTTATTTCGCCATTTACTAAAAATATAACAACTCTTTCGTTTTTTTATAAGTTTTAGATTATTAACCGATAATGGATATTTTGTAATTTTTGTAAAATAAACAACTGTATCTTGTTGACCAATACTTTCGACCAAGTCTAATTTTTACAGTTGAATAATTAGTAAAAAATTGGTCTAAAGTTATTTATATAGAATTTCCCCCGCTGCTGAAGTATATATAGACGAACAGATACAGATTATTCGAAAAATGATAAAATTTAATTATGAGAATTTTATCTTTAATGACAGTTTAAATTGCTGCTATGTATTACTAATAATAACAATACTGTATAGGTACTTAAATTTTCAGGAAAATGGGGTGAGCCATTCTTGATTTTATTAGTAACATTGATTGCTTCATTCATTAATTTTTTGGAGTCACACTATATAAGTAATTCTAAAAAATATGAATACTTACATTAATAAACCACAAGTATAGACTGATAACATGTTGCATATTTAGATAGGATTTATTTATTTTGAGATGACATCATCAATTATTTGGAGGGTATGAACGGATAAATTTTGATTCACGATTTTGGAGATGATTATCCCATTGGTGGTGGGGATGATATTCGATATTCCTAACGTACATATAAAACAATCGGTGCAGAATAGTTACGAAGATTATCTGTCTAACAAAAATTGACACAGACGGCAGACCGCAGACAGACAGACCGAAATGGGAATCTAGTTTTTCATACTCTCTACTCCATGGGTCATGAAACGTCGAAACATGAAAGTAGCTGTTCGTCCTGGTCCCAATTACTCAATATTTCTTTGGTTTGCCTTTGGGAAGTAAAAAAAAAAACAAAGTCAGTGTTATTTCCACTACTGTTGGTAGCTCCAAATCCTAATTCTTTATTAAAAAGAGGCAGACATTTCGTTAATATATATTAGATCCCAAAAATAAAAACACAAAACCATCACTTTCGAAAATCTACAGAACAGGCTGCAGTTAGCTAAAATCTGTTGTCGACAAAGTTTTAAACTGACAAAGTCTAAAAAGCCGTTCAAATAATTTGAATTTACAAAGGAGCTGCAGTTAATAATAAATTTTAAGAGTTGATATATATAGTCAATTAGTAAAAAATAAAGTTTCTAGTATCTGCCCTTTTTACATTACATTATTTATCACCACCATATGCAGAATATATAATTAATTGAAACAAATTAATTACAGTAAGAAACGTTAACCAATGCTTTTTAAAATAACTAAACGTGTGAGTGCTACCGTACACAAATAACTGGAGTTTCCAACGTCCATTAGTAGATGCCCTGGTTATAGTGCGGGCGTTCAAAACCAACCACAAGAACCACTCCGAATAGCTTTCCGTAAATGAAACGGGATAGCTTAAAGCTTTCAGGATAATTTATGCATAGTTTGAAACGCGTCGGAATTTTATGTTCGCGAACATTCAGAAAACGATTTTTTATACGAGAAGACGGCGAAGAGACGCTGATGCGGTTCGACTGATACGCTTCTACCTCAACGAACATAATATAAGCGTGTGAATGATTGATGTAGTAAATCCATTCCCAGCGACTGTATAATGTCTTTTTAAAAAATGGTTTTCATCACGTCAAAGTAATAACTGCTTACGCCTTCCTAGATAAATTATATAAGTGCAGAGGTGGTACAATTGCATGTTTTTATTTTCATACTTTAAGTTCACAAAATTTTAGTGCATTTTCTTAAACCTCTAATATAAAACCAAGCAATATAGGGATTTTTAAAAACACAATAAATAAACAAACATAAAATTTACTACATATGCACAATTGTTTTAAATTTTGTTACACTTCAAATTCCTTATGAAGGCAAATAACTATGAGGTAATTAAATATAAACATAAAGTTTATTCGGGTTTAGTTATTTTAACTGCAAACTAACCCTCACTAAATGCAGGGAGGACCCAAACTTATGGGCAACTTGAAGGTTATCCAACCGTTGGAAGTACAGCTTTAAAATTTAAAAACTATGAATCAAATGATGCTGATCGAGCTCACAGTGATGTGTTGTGACTTTGAAATGTTCAAACTTTGGCATATAGGTAACACATTTTAAACGGCATGGGGGGTCGAGTGTGATCCCTCTTTTAAAAGCTTATCTCATTCTACATATGATACCAAAGTTAAGAAAATGATCTACTGAACTCTATCTTTGGGTTTAATTACAATTAATTACATAGAACATTTAAACCAATGAATAAAAATAACTTTAATAACATATGTAATTTCTGAAGAAATTAAAATGGGTACCTACTAAAATTAATCACTTGTTAAGAAACATTAAAAAATATTTAACGGATATTTGAATAGTAGGTATAAACGAATTGTTAAAAAATTTCCATTACTTCATATCATCATGTACATACATTATGTCTGAAAATTATATCGTTTGTATAAATATTTACTTAAGAGAAACACTAAATAAATAGATGGTAGTTATTAGTATAATAAGACCTATTATTTAGTGAATATTATTTGCTGAGATGAACCTAAATTTAGTCAGCATAGGAGACATTTTGTTAAAAGGAAATGTAAATTAAAAGACGAGGTGTACATTTAGCACTCATGCTGTTATGTTCGAGTGTTGTAAACGAAAAAAAAACCACTTAAAGGAAGGGGAGCTACGTGTACATCATGATGCAGAGGTGTACTTGTAATTTAAAGAAAATATTCATCATTAGATAATACCACATGATTCACACCATTTTGTGAAAAAGCCTTACATGAAAAAGCTTTTTACAGACCTTCCGTGTCATTTTTCGTTGCAAACAAACAATTGGGTCATCATACTTAGAACTAACACCAAATGGCTCTGTACCCATATAATTTATGCATTTGTTACGGTAAAAATAAAATTTGATAAAATGCAATATTTTGTTATTATTCAAAGAGGACTAAAGGTTTTTTTAAGATGTCGTATGACAGAAAAAAATGACTCAAATTACTTTTTAAATCTCTCTAAATTCTTTGGAAATTCAGTTACACATTCACACGTGTGTTATCGACAGATACAAATAATAATACATACGTAACTAAGTAACTATTTGATCAGTTACCTATTATTGATTCTGACGCACAAAATATTTTAATGGATTCATAAAATATTTGCTTTCCCTTTTTGATGATAAGAAAATGCAAGGTTATGGAGAATCTCGGTTTAGCTCCCTTAGACGTTATGTTCCCATTTTTAAAAACATTTCGGAATGATTGACCTATCCTCTGAGTAATAAATAAGTAATTAATTTTGTTACTTGTTACTACAGGTGTAGGCCCACCTATGTTTCGTTATTCAGTATAAACTTCCCTTTTATCTTATCATTTTTGTTGTTATCAGCATGAATAGTCACCCCTATATGTATAAATAAATTTCTGAACACTTGCAAGAGAGAAGTTATACCTGAAAGATGTTTTTTGTAAAAAGTGTATTCTATGTTTCCTTAATAATTTTTTTTGTTCAGTCTGAAAAGAAAACGGTAAGCATTGCTATTTTTCTTATTAATAAGGAAAACAAAATTATATTAAAGTATAATTAAAAAATTTATAGTCGCGACTTCTTATTCAAAGTAAAAATGGTCTGGTTCGAGGACTTGAACAGAGTACCGTTGGGCTAAATTTAACTTATTATGTTTATCGAGGAATTCCTTACGCCGAACCACCGATAGGTAAACTTAGATTTGAAGTAAGTATTGTGGTATATTATTTCCTTACATTTTTGCAATTTTGGCTACATTTTTTAATGGAATAATAAACAAAAATATTTGAAAGCGAGCTTAGGTCAGGAAATAAGCATTTTCACTAAATTTAGAAAAAAAAACAGTTTCAGTCTACATAATAAGAAAATTTTTAAATGAAAAAATCCACAGAAATACGGGGTCTGTAGTTGAATACACTTCCAGTGCTTCTTTTAATAAGATAAGATCAACTCAATATTTTTACGGTAACTTATTTTTTCAATTCGTAGGTCACTTTTGAAATATCTTCCAGCCTAAAATAAAGTTTAGATCTGGGCTTACACTACGTACATCGAGAAACTAATATTAACTAATCCTGACTAGTAATAGTAGTTTCATAGCTCAGTTTCAGAAAATCGTTAATAAAATAAAATAATGAAACTAGTAAAATATCACGAAAATTGTTTTTTTTTTAACTTTCTTGGAAGTCGAGTTTTTAATGTCAGCTATTCCCCAGCCCCCCGTTCCAAAAAAGAATTGGAAAAACATTTTAGATGCTACTAAAGATGGTAGCAAATGTATCCAAGGCAATCCTCCCGTGGGCTCTGAAGACTGCCTATTTGTGAATATCTATGTTCCAAAAGTAAGTAATATAAAAAAGTGTTACAATACGAACAATATAATAACTTCAGGTCTCTAAATATAACAAAAAATTGTTACCAACAATGGTCTTCATCTACGGCGGTGGGTTTGAAGGTGGCGATTCTACGTACGATTTGTACGGACCAGATTATCTTTTGGAAAAAGATGTTGTTGTAGTTACCTTAAATTACCGTTTAGGTATTTTAGGCTTTCTAAGTACCGGAGATATGATAGTTCCTGGTAATAATGGATTAAAGGATCAAGTATTAGCTCTAAAATGGGTCAGAGACAATATTGAGAATTTTGGTGGCGATCCAAATAAAGTTACCTTATTTGGTCAAAGCGCTGGATCGGCATCTGTCTCTTACCACATGCAGTCTCCGCTTTCTCGGGGTAAGTAAAAATTTCCATAAATTTTTATCACTAATATTATGTACCTACATTTTTTGAATACGAATATTTACGGGAAATTGTTTACTGGAGTATTAAGAAAACGGATATTAATTAAAAATTATTGGTAGAGTACTGCTATAATAGATACAACAGTATTTCTCCGACTGTTTGCGCCTGAAATATTTACAATCTATTAATACACTATTTTTTTTTACCTGTGCTAATATTGTCACCAATTTTATAGGATTATTCCATAGAGCTATAATGGAATCAGGAGTATCGCTAAGTTCTTGGGCTTTTAGCAGACGTGTACCTGTAGTGGTAAAAAAAATTGCTGAAGATTTGTCACTCGATACGTCTAATTATCAAAAAATTGTCGACGGGTTAAGGCTAATTAATTCCTCTGAACTACAAGCAAAAGCTGCAGGGGCTGTGGCATGGGTAAGATTTACTTATCTAATTTTAGTTTGTCTTACTATCGAAAAAATACATATTTGGTTTTTTTTCCAGCAATACTTGAGTAATGATCCCAGAAACGGATTTATGCTAGGTCCTGTTATAGAACCTGAACATAGTAATGCCTTTTTTTCCAAAAAGAGTCACCAATTATTATTAGATGGAAACTTCAATAAAGTGCCTTGTATTGTTGGCTTTAACTCATTAGAGGGTACTTTTAACTTTGGAAGTAATCTTTGCACATTTGTTACATGTTAAGACAATCTTATTTATATTTTTCAGCTTTGTTTAAAATATATCTCTTACAGTATGATTTTAACCACGCTAGATTATTACCATTTGATCTGAATATAGATGAAAACAAGAAAAGTGCAGCAGCATCATATGTGAAAGATTTTTATTTCGGTAATAATTTGATTGCGTTTTCAGACCGTAAACTAATGAAGGTAGATTTTTGGGTATTAAATGCAAAATATATACCTACTTATTTTCGAAAATTTTGTAGTACCTTAGCGATGACCTATTTGCAAGGCCAGTTCGAGAGTATGTTCGACAAGTCTCGAAACATGTACCGGTATATTTTTACAAATTTTCATACGAGGGAGGATTATGGGGTTTTACTAATAGAACACAACCTGGTAAATTAGAAAAAAATACATACACACATATTTGTTAATGCTAAAAATATTTCAAAGGTGTGGGTCACAGTGAAGAATTAGGATACTTATGGAAATCGAAGTTTACTCCTTCTGATCTGGATGTTCTTACAAGAAGAAGAATGACGACTATGTGGACAGATTTTGCAAAGACTGGGTATACAAAATACAGTTTAACTTAGAAGCTATTTTTGTTAATGATTTTTTCAGAAATCCTACACCTGACAAATACTTTACTACTTTAGAAGTGATCTGGGAAAAAACTGATACTAATTTTACTTATTTGGACATAGGAAGTGAACTGACTCTCAAACAGTTTCCAGAAAAGTCAAGTATGGAATTGTGGGATCAAATGTACGAAGCTTACGGCCATCCACCATTTGATACATATTAGCTCTCGCTAGTTATAAGAGAAAACATGTATTTTAAAGGATTTTTTTTAGAATTTCAATAAAAAATATATAGTAACGAGACTATTATCATTATTATTTAATATTTCTGGATAGTAAGCATACGTTAATGGTAACTCAATAAAGGCATCAAAATTAAAACAAGAAACTTTTAGAATAGACACAATAATTAATGTGCGGACAGAATAAAGATCAAATATATCCATAAGCTAGCGTAAATGTTGAAAAAAATCAGGATTAGATTTCGTTAAAACTGCTGCATAGAGCAAGGCGTATATACTATTATAAACTACAAATGGACCGGCAATCCGTTTTCATAATACCTATCTGTTATTTTGTTATAACAGCACTGTCTGCTGGATTGATATATCACCGATAACAACCATGGCTGTTATATCTCCAACAAAAAGTTGTATTAAAGTTTAATTAACATTAAAGTACAATAACATTTAAAAGAAAAAAAAAACTATGTGGCGTGAGAACAATTATTAAAACTGAAAGAGTAATTACTTTAGTACTAGCAGAAATGACAAATTTCCCGGAAAACTTTTCATTCTGGTCATTATGGTTTGTACAGCTGCTGGAACTTGATGAGGTTGTTCGATTAAAAAGTTACAACAAAAATTCCGAATATGAAAAAAACTTTTTCAAGCAAAAAATGATCATCTGGAGTTACTAGAAGAAATTTTGTTATTTGCTCTGTTTTTAGTATGTTTGCTTTCTTTAAGCTTAAAACATTCCGATTTTCTCTTCAGAAACGTAAAACCCTTTCCGAATCTATAGAAAACAAAATTTTCGTTAAAAAAATTATTTTAATAGCCACATACATACCTGGAGATATCAATATTTTTATGCAACTTCAAACATGTTTTTAGCATGTAAATTTTTGTCCACACTGTTCGGAGCAAAATTTTGTGACAATCCTTACAAATAACAGAGTCGAGCATCTTAGGCCGTATGAATAAAAAGAACAACAACTCATCTCTCGCTATCATTCGGCGTTTAATCGTTCATACTCCGTCACATAACGTATCACTTAAACTCTTAATAAAATAAATATCTATCGTTTTTTATGCTTTTTAATGTGACAACAAAAAATTTCATTGAAAAGTTACACAATAAGAATTTTTTTACAAAGTTTAATGCATACGATTATAAAACTATAAACTGTCTTTAGGACACTATCAAAAGTAAAAGTTATCATCAGTACTGTTAAAAGAAATAATTATTACAAACTAATTTATCTTAAGACAAAATCATTTGAATCCATTTTAAGTAGTTATCAACATTCAGAAGAAGAATTCTGCTTGCATGATTGCATTCATGTTTATCTTGAAGAGCAATTCCAACTGTAACCAAACCATTTAACTCCCAAACTGGTTTGTTTCCGCCACGAAGTGATGCTAAACTACTTCCTGAGTCTCCTACACACTGAGTACCATCTGAAAGCACAAAATTTTCTGAAATTAGTTCTTGCAAAGTATAGAAATATATATTAAACACTCACAGTAACATTTTTATTGAGTATTATTTAGCAAATATAACCCTATCCTAATGTATTTGTTAGTCCAAAAATACTCAAAAGTTGTAATATTTATTTTAAATAACACCTACTCATTTATTAACATATTAACGTAAAAATTATCTTACCCTCTGCATAATTGGCGCAAATGACATTGTCAGTCAATATGCTCTTCAGATTAAGATTTTTCTCCAAACATTTTTCTGCTTCGAGTACATTTACTTTCGTTTGAGTCAAATCCCCCATTCTATCTCTGTTAATCCCATAACCCACCAAAAGTCCTTCCATTTTGTTCGCAAACTGCCTCAAACAAATTGGTCTAACATAATCGCCAATAATAACAGGTTTATTCAACTGAATAATGGATAAATCGTTTAACAGCTGCTCTGCGCGATATCCAGGATGCAAAAAGATTCTCTCCACTCCTAATTTCTGAATATCCTTGCCCTCGTCATCTCGATTATGGCTATATTTTCCGAGATAAACCGTCAACTGACGAACAGGCACAGCCAATTCAGATTTCTGATAAGTCACACAATGGGCAGGAGTTAAAACGTGTTTGGACGATATGAGTGTAGCTCCGCAGATATATTTTTCTCCTTTATTATTCTGAATGTAAATAGCTCCTTGCCAGGGCCATTGTCCATCTTGCGCCTTTTCATTTGCAGGTTCACGATTTGCCAACAAGGGAGCCGTTCCACAACCCTCGAATTCTTTATAAGCGGAAGGTTCCGACTGAGACGTGATAGAAGCCAAGAAATCTTTATTGTTTAAGTCTCCCGAGAAGAGCTGCCCGAAGCTGCTGAAATATACGTTTATTTTGATAAAGAAGTAAACACAGTGCTAGTAAAATATATATTAAAATTCCATATTTCTGTTCTAAAATTAGTATTGTATGTGTGTATGTTTTTATAGGTTGATTATGCCAAAGATTACTCACAGTGCAAAATACAGGAGAAAGTAAAATAAAGTGCAGGTTTGCATAAAAATAATCAGCCATATCTGGTAAGGAGAGAAGGTGGAATAACCCATATGTTTTATTTTTCTAAATACATATATTGAACGTTGTCTATTTTCTTTTGCGTTCTTTACTTTTATTTGGAAATTTATTTGATATAATAGTCTAATTTTACTTTTAGAAATTACAAACATGCGGTTTTTCACACTCCCTAGTGAGTGAGTCTAATATATAACAAGATATATTTTAGTATAATATACTCAATTATGAAATACTGAGGGTACCTCGCCTTGACTCAGTGTCATTTTGCCTCACTTTTTTTCTACAGTACCAAGCGTACATAAATACATTGTTGTTTTTGTTATTTAATATTCGCAGTATGTTGCAACCAGTTTTTATTTTTACAGTGTATAATTCAAAGCTTATTTTTAAAAGTCACTTTACTATACTAAGTTCTTTTTTTACATTTTAAGCTACGGTGAATATTTACATAACGTCGCCGTCGCTAAAATAAGTGGAACCGATTAAATATTTAGAAAACACTTTATTGCAATCCTTGAAATTTAAGTGGAATTTGAACGAAAATGGAAAAACACTAAAACAATTTCCGTCAACAAGAAAAACAAAAAAAATTTAAAGCTGTATAGTAGACAACAAAATTCCCCTAAAAATAATATTAGTTTGAAAGTGTAACAGATCCTATCGAGACTTATTAAATATCGAAATCTGAAGACTGGCAGTACCTAACGGCTTAAAGACCAGAAAACAATTCTGTTAACCACCTTAGAACAACGATATGGAGTTTTTTGTTGAAATGACAATCCTGAATAGAATTTTATAGTTTATCCCTGTTACATCAGAACTTCTTATAAACCTTCAGTAAAGCTGTAGAATTAGTCATATAGAGTAAAATACAAGTATGGAGCCTAATCCGTGATAAACCTGAAGTAATGGTGACCTAAATATATGCGAAAACTATTTGAAACCTTAATTTATATATCTTTTATTTTTGAAGGTTTATAATGTATACCGATAGTGAAATAAATTTTGTAATGCAAATTTACTTGTCATTAAAATTACCATTATCAAAATTTCCTTGTCATGACTACTGTCAAGCAAACACAGTTGTGTCATTAAACAAATTTGTAAGTTATAAAGCAGCAGTTAGAGGAAAATAGCAATTTAAATACGGTATGCATTCTAACTCAGAGGTAGAATTGTTTTCACGTTAAAAATATAACTCAGCCTTTGTCAGATAATGGAGGCCCTAGTCAATCTACTATCGGAAACATTGTTTAGTAATTTTTTGACTGTAAAATCTTTTGTATCCAGAAAATTCACGCCCAGAATTAACTGTAATGTGTCCATTCAAACAAGAAGAATTACCGTAAGCAGCTGTCAAAAAACATCTACTCCTGTAAATCGCACTTTAACAATGAAAAATATTAATCCTCAAATTCCAGTAATAGAATATGCAGTTAGAGGAGCAGTCCTCATTCGGGCTACGGAAATTGAAAAAGAACTCCAAAACGGTGTCAAAAAGCCATTCACTGAAGTAATAAGAGCAAACCTTGGTGACTGTCATGCAATGGGACAGATACCCATTACTTTCATACGGCAGGTTCTTGCTCTTGTAACTTATCCAAAATTGTTTAACGAAGCTCAGTTTCCATCGGACGCCAAAGAACGAGCTAAACAGCTTTTGGACGCATGTAGAGGAAGTTCAGTAGGATCCTATACCGACTCTCCTGGTATCGAACTTATTAGAAAACATGTAGCAGAATATATCCAAAAACGGGACGGAGGTATTCCTTCTGATTGGCAGGATATTATTTTAACTTCAGGAGCTAGTCCTGGTATCAAAGATATTTTAAAACTGATGATATATCAAAGTAGTGGTTTAAAGTCAGGAGTCATGACTCCAATTCCGGAATACCCTCTGTATGCAGCAACTCTAACAGAATATGATATGATCCCAATTGGATATTACTTAGATGAATCGAACAACTGGGGTCTTGACATGTCGGAATTGCAGACGGCAGTAAATCAATCTAGGGCATTTTCACATCCACGAGCAATTGTAGTTATAAATCCCGGTAATCCTACTGGACAAGTACTGACCAAAAATAACGTACAAGAAATAATCAAATTTGCCTATAAAGAAAGATTGTTCATACTTGCAGATGAGGTGTACCAGTACAACATATATGACCCGGAATCACAATTTTTTTCATTTAAGAAAGTCATGAAAGAAATGGGTAAGCCATACAGTGAAATGGAAGTAGCCAGTTTTATGTCATGCTCTAAAGGTTATATGGGAGAGTGTGGCATTAGAGCAGGATTCGTAGAAATTATCAATATGGATCCAGAAGTGAAAAAAATGTTATTCAAAGCAATTACTACAAGTTTATGTCCCACAGTTTTGGGACAAGTTACTACGGACATTGTCGTAAATTCACCGAAAGAAGGAGAGCCTAGCTATAACCAGTTTATCCAAGAAAAAACAACTGTTCTTGAATCTTTAAGGATAAAAGCCAAACTTATATCGGAAACATTTAATACATTCAAAGGTTTTAGTTGTAACCCAGTGCAGGGAGCAATGTATGCTTTTCCACAAATTAAACTTCCACCAAAAGCAATTGAGGAAGCAGAAAAGCAGAAGAAACATCCTGATGTGTTTTATGCTTTTGATCTTCTAGAACACACAGGAATATGCATTATTCCTGGTTCTGGATTTGGGCAAGACCCAGGTACTTATCATTTTCGGACCACTATATTAATGCCTGTGGACAAGTTAAAAACAATGTTAGAAAAATTTAGAGATTTTCATACACGATTTGTAGAAAAATATAGCTAGAACATGTAAATTTTATTAAGACAATAAACATCAATTTTTAAAATTGTTACTGTGAATTTTATTAAATTATTGCAAAATAGGAAATAGGTTACTTATTTTTATACAGAGTCATATACAGCATTGGCCTTTTGTGGATGACTTCACCTGTTTAAAATATTTTTAAAGCCAACACTTGCAATGTTAAATTTTTTTAAAAATGTCACACCTTTTCACACTCTTAGAGCCAAAGTTTAAAAAATCACAGTTTTTCTAAGAATTTGTTGTAGTATATTACATAATCACAACTTCTAAAATAATTTATTATTATTTATGAGAACAATTATAATAGCCTTTATTCACGAAGCAACTAATCTAAGTGAATAATGGCTATAATGGCGAATATAATACTGTTACGAAATAAACCCATACTCCGCCCCGGTACGACGCCTATGGGTTCCCGAGCTTTCTTTTACGGTGATAATGACGCATCGTGGATGACGTCACCCAGGCAGCGCTCGCATAAAGACAAGCCTCCAGCGGGTTACCGGAAGTCTCGATTGCGGCGTCCAGAAAACTCTCGATGCAGCGTTCTGGATCCATCGAGAGGCACGCGGGGATTTAAATACAGGCCACTGTCGGGAACCAGGATTCATTCGAGCTAGCGGAATAATTTCTGTACATAATCGTTGCAATAGTTAGTCGTGTAAATATCAGTTATTAAGAAATAAATTGTTGAGTTTTACTTACGCCGATTAATTATTCGCCCGTCGAACGTAACAATACTATACTTTTTCTACTCCCAAATAAAGAAAAAATCACGTAAAAATACTAACAAAGCAGCACAATCACCTGTGCTTATATAAAATAATCGTTGTTAGTAATTAGGTTTTTTCTTATTCGCTCAACGTTTTACCCGTGAAATATGAAATTCCCCGTGATTGGGTGAAGGCAGCGAAATATGAATCCATATTTCATGGTGTAGAAAAATGGATACTATTATTAATAAAATTACAAAAGATGTAATAATGCGTATATTATTAAACAGAAGTAGAAAATAGTATGTGAAAGAACGAGTTTCATAAGGCAAATAATAAGGCACGAATCCAAGTTTACAGAACGAGCGGCGAAGCCGCGAGTTATATAAAGGATGAGTGCCACAATGGCCTTATGAACAAATTATTTATACTATTTTTTCTACCGCGCACGTTTTTTCACAAAATTTAAATCTGGGGAATTTTGTCGTGGTTGGTGATGGGTTGGTCGGACACAAACCACGAAATATTTGAAGTTCCAATTTCCACAACAACTGTAATTCGAATCAATTCGAGTTTTTGTATGTTAAATTTGGTTAAAATGTCTTGTGAAGAAGTTAGTGAAGTCCTTACGCCTCCCGAAATACGGGAAATTTTAATTTGACATTTGCCACTGACATTCACCTGACATTTCTCGTCATGGCTACCAATCTTACCGATTTAAATAACACCAGATCTATTTCAGCAGAACCCCTTTCGGCTATTAACGAACCGATTTGATGTCATTTGGATGTTTTACTAGCTCTATTAGAAAATCAAAAAACGTGCGCGGTAGAAACACGGTTTATGTACGAGTGTATAATTTAACTATATGGTAACTGCTATACAATTCGAGTTGCTAATTATATTTTTTGTATGAACATTCTCAGAAAGTATAGACTTATGCATCCAAACCTATTTTTATAAAATTCTCGAACTTATTTAGGCAAATTTTAAGTAAAATTTTAATTAGAATAAAATAACTAATTTCAAAAACTACAGATATTTCACAACTTTTTCCTTAACTGAAAATGTAACATTTGAAAAGAACAACTGAAAAATGTCGTTAAAAACGTTTCTTAAAAACGAGGATTCCCAAAACTCTTAGCTAGGTAACATTTATAACATAAGATTTTCGTTCATAACGTAGCAGCATTTGTATATGTCAAGTAAACTATGTTGTAATTGACAAATTACGATACGAATAGACAAAATGTGTTATACATTTTATTAGAGTTCATAGTTCATTTAAGTAACAGATATGTATTTCAGAATAATGTAATGAATGTAACATCTCGCCAACATGAAACCATAAATAATGTAATATAATGAGATTGCTATAAATCCATCGTAACCATAACTAAATTGACGAAATGAAAAAAAAGAAGAGAAAGTTCTTTATTTTTCAACTTATGTTGCTGCTTACTTATTTCCAAAATTTTGATTTATTTTTTGGTTGGGTTTTATTCCTTTCTTATATTATTAATTTTCTTCATTATTAACAGTGTTACTATTGTCTATAACAACATTATTTTTATTACTGAGTTACGTTCAAAACCATAGTGCAAGAAATTAATATTTTATTGTATTACGCAATTTCGTATAAGCCTACATACAGGTATCCCAGATTAAATTCCGCAAGAGTCTTGAGAACGCTTGACTAAGGAAAGCTTAATTTAGTACGTTGCAAATATGACGCATATAATAGTGTCGGCATCGCGACACAAACATATATTTTTTATTGATTCTCAGGATATTTGTTTACTTAATTCACCTAAATGAAAATGTACAATAAATAAATATATAATTTAATATAATAATATTAAAAATTGTGTAATACCTTCATTATTTTAAATATGTAATTTACCAAATCAATGGATTTAATTAGTTTAATATTTAGATATTCTATGCTCAGTTAGGGATAGTTTCTGTTAATTTCATAAGTTGCTAGGTAAACTGCGAGCAACACACATTTGACCAAAATTTGCATATTATCCAATTTTAGAGTCGCTTCACATGGTTTGTGTTTTAATTGAATTGTAGAGAGGTGAAACAACAACAAAACTTCTAGAAAGTTGTTGCACTAAACTACGAATAAATAAACATATATTAAAACTATAATTACTATTAACGTTTACATAAATAACAAAGGGTCTTTTAAATACTCACCTTTCTTGTGAAGAGCAGACCATTTTGGCATTCAATCGATATTCAGTTAAAAGGGGAATTTTATCTCCTTCATACTTGACAATTATTTCGATTAGCCTTGGTTTTCCGGCTTTTAACACAAAATTGCGATTTTTTATTAAGTATTCTTTTTTGTTTTCGGACGCAATTATTTCTCCAAAATCACCCTAAAAATTAAGTATATTTCTATACCGGGACTTGTTTAACATATGAAAGTACGAAGTACGTAAGTAAGAGCTTAATCCCCATGTGCAGTTGAAAAAACATACATTAATACATTGGAGTATGCAACCAATGTTACGTCACCCTACTTGATTGTGAAAAAATACTAAATATCAACGTCGGGTATAAACACCACTACAGAAATAGAACAAATGATGGTTTAACTGAAGAAAAAAAAACTAAATATCTTATGTTATGCAAAAGAAAACACAATGTGTTCTGTATATTTTGACAAAACTGTTTTTTTTAATATTAAATATTAAGAAATTTAGAATATTTTACCATGTTATTAATGTGAAAATTATACTTTTATAAAAAAATAAGAAAATAATGAAATCTACTACTAAATATGCAGTTTATTTATTATTAAACTACTAAACATATTTAATAAACCGTAAGTTCAGGATTAATAGTTGCCCTAATTCATTTCTCTTGTAACGCTAATTGCCAGCGAAAGCAAAAGAAATAGGTGCATAATTAATTTAATTTATAATAATTAATTTAATTTATAATAATTAAATTAATTAAAAATTAAATTGTGCTTACTTTTAGGTGATACTAGGTAGTTTTCCTACAAGTGGAACATGTTCCACCGGACTATAAAGATTATCATTATTAATGTTATTAAGTTATTATAAAATGAACTAGAGTGACTGTCTTCAGATGTTTGTCCCTTAGTTAGTAATTTAGGAAACGATAAACTCCACATAAAGTGTCAAAATCAAATTCCCAAATCACAGCAACATTAAACTTACGCCAGCATTAAGTTCTTCTAACTTTTTATCAAAAATAAGTCGAAGCCAAACGCCATGAAGTTCGGAATCTGACAGTAAGGTTACAGTTCCAGTCCATTGGTTGGGGTGATCTGCAGAATCGTAATGGAAAAGATCAGGACACGGAGAGTGTAACTCTAAAGCTGACGTGATCGATCCTTGCAAAGTCATCAAGCTAATAACAAAAAGGACTGAAGCACCGGCCATCTGAAAAATATTAACTTAATTATTTCATATTAACTAATCTAAAGTGTCAAACAATACACTTTTTGCAAATAAAAAAAATGATATGCGCAACTCTGGCGAAATATTTCTTTTTATGTAATACCCAAATACCACACAGTTTTTTATGTATTCGTAAATTTAAATATATTCACAAAAATTTGAGTGATACCTATAATTGCACATTTACAATAATGAATAATAACACTAGTTTACAAATTTAAACTTTTTTTCGTATCCAAAAATAAAAAAAATATTTTCTACTTCTAAATTACTTACTGATAACAAATCCAAAAACGGATAATCCCTATCACGTCAGGTTTTTTTATAAATCCAAAATAATGAACTTTGCTTTTACCTTCTTGTTAGTGTTAAACTGATTCATGTTAATGCACCATGTCGCATAAAAAATGTCTTCGAGATTGTGCAAAGTAAGTGGAAATCAGTTTTCTTACGTTTGTGGTAAAATTATAGTACCTAAAGCTGGAAGACCTGTTCAAATATGCTTAAAAAGAAGGTATCAAGGTTTTTGGGATGAAAATGTGTTACTGTTGGTCTATTATAAGGGAAACTGACAGTACTGCCAATAAAAGAAAGTGTTAATCATTTTTAATTTTCAGTCATAATGTTTATAATATTTACTGGGTGTTGCTTTTATTTGATACAACCCCTGTAACTTCTTTATTCTTAAAGATAAACCTATACTTCTTTGAGCAAATTTGTATCATTTTAAAAGATCTTTGTGAGGCCAATCTCACATTTTTATTATCACTTCCCGTAGAAAAATCAAAAGCAACCAATTATTCTAAAATCAATACTTGAAAAATTTTAAATAAAAGATTGATGACAATCTAGCTTGAAAAATTGACTCATGTTATTTATTTACGTAAATGATCTTTTAAAATGATACAAATTTGCTCAAAGAACTATATGTTCATATATATTTAAAAATAAAAAAATTACAAGAGTTGTCTAAAAGAAAAGAAATACGGGGTATGTTTATATAAATATCTCAAAAACCTGACGTGATGGATTTTTTCTGCTTTCAGATTTGAATTTCCCGAACCCAAATCCTTTAGATTCAACTATTTTTGTTTTTGGATATAAAACCTTGTAAACTAGTGTAATTACAGTAAAATACGAAAACCAACTTGAGAGGTGTTCTTTCTGTTGAATATGTTCAGATTTTTAATAGTAAACTTGAAAAGCATGTTTTTTGTATAATTTTTGATTAAGGAAACAATACCTTTATTTAAAAAAGTCATCAAAATTAAAAATAAAAAAATCTAAATCTAGTTATTTTAACGGCCTTAACTAGCAGTCATGCAAGTTACCGTCGAATATCGAGCTTCAACAAAGGTCAAGTTTAATGTTGAATTAAAAAACATAACATTTGTTTTCTCATTTTTCCCTCCTTATTATTCTGGGTTCTTCTGAACAGCTGAGCAGGTTTGCATATTATTATGTAAATCAAGTTGAGACAAAATGAAAATTTTCGTTACATACGAATCTCCAATTAGGGATTCAAGATTTCGCAATGCTGCAGAAATAATATGAAAATCATTTCACAGTGACAAGTGTCAATTATATGTTAAATTTAAATTCTGCCACATTATGAAATCAGGAATACCAGCTCACAAAGCAATCCTTAAGAGAATCTATTAAAGCATTGTTTTCAAGTATCAGTTAATGTGACTGATATATACTTAACACACAACGCTTCCACAATGAAAGAAAAAGTTAAATTTGTCACATCTTTCATTTAGGATTTATCATAATAAGTTTGAGCCAGAATTTCCGGATCGACCGATTCCTGGTAAAATTATTTAATGATTACTACTTGACTTTTGTACAATATTAACTTATGTCAAAAATATGACATTGGCAAGCCATGCGGTGAATTTAATAAATATCTTATTGTAATTCCGTAACTATTTTGTTCTTTAGGAAAAAATAAAATGAATCTAATTTATAAAATACCACTCTATTAGTCTAATAGTATGCCAAATTTCAATTGAACATCCTTACTAGAAAACTTATTAATACAACATAAAGTTTTCAGTACGTAAATCGCTATGACCAGAGTTAAAAAACAGCACTGTACAATCATGTGGAGAAACGTGTCACTTTGCGGACTGATGTCGACAAATATGTTATGTATATATTTCATTGGTTATAGCTCCTATTGTTTTAGGTTTTGTTTGTAGAACTTAACTCTCCGACTCAATAACTGTATAACTGAAATAAATTGAAATACCACTTGAAAGTTATTTCACTTGATTCATTCTTCAGGTTGAACATACTGGCATAAGAGTAAATATGGTGATAATATAATACAAAATATATATTCACCCGCGTGAATTAAATATTAGAGATAAAAATATAAAACGTTTTAACTTAAAAAAATCGTCCCTAGTTCTAGTTAATTTGTTTCACACAAGATTCGATTTTTTTTTAATTAAAATAATTGATACTTCGTAGTTATAAATCTCCCCTCTGTGGAATAAAAATCGAACTCTTAGTAATCCTGAACAAATTACATCAGTCCCTTAAGAAGTCGGAAATGGAAGAGAACTGCTTCTATAGAAGTTCTTCAGAAAACGTATTAAACGTTCGAAAACTCAATAATAATCGTAAAATCCCGAATGAAATTGGGAGGTTAAAGTGGTTCCTTCAAATAACTATTGATTTCTGTTTATAAGTATACGAAGGCTTAATACACTCCACAGAAACTCAGGAAGCTGGAATCATATCTCTCTGCAGAATATGGTAACTACATATGAATGACTAACACTGGATATTGCATGTAAAATTTGATGTTATAAACAATTTACCAAGTGACAAACTGAAATATGATAAGTACTAACTTTTAAAAACAATGAACACCTGACAATACTGCCGTCGTTTGGCGTTATACCATACAATGCAAATATATTTTACTCGAGTAAAGTGCGTATTAACGATTCTATAAAGAAGTGGTAATTTATTCAGCCTGGAGTTTATTTTGTTTTCTGCAAGTTTCCTAATACTTAGTAGACAAAGTACGGACTCAAATGTCTATCATTTTCTCAACATTTTTTGGTCGTATTCAAATTGAAATATAAAACAAAAGTAAAACTGCCTTGTATTCGTATCCAACTTTAAATCATATATACTTACCTTAGTACTTAGTTAACAGTTTCTCTTACTGATAAAAAAAAGTCAATAAGTATGGTAAAAAAGGCGATTTTTTATACGTAAAAATTTTTATATAATCCTTCAGGCATTTTTATAACGAAACGGTGTAACCCACGGCTTTCTGCGGGCACAGAATGATGAAATGGAATTTTATTTTTTCCTGCTCTCCTGAATATTTAATACGCAAAACTTTTTGATGAAACTCATTACTATTAAGCCTTTTTATAAAGGAGCAATAAACGAAATGGCTTAAATATTTGAAACATTACAGTTAATTTCAAAGGTACTGACTCTCCTGAATTACATCAGCTAATTGCAGTTTTTAATATGTACTGTAAACGTTCAATCCAGTAAGGCAAACAAAATCCGAAGCAAGAAATAAATCATTTACACTCCCACAAGCAGGATCGGACGCATGCGAATAAATTCTTGGAGCACCAAGATATTAGTCAACGTAACTAAGCGCGGTTATTCGCATTATTTACCTGACAGACAGTTTTTCCGCAATAAAAAATATCACACGCGTGTTCTAGGTACATCTTCACTTATTTAGTGATTTGGTGGTTTATAGATCACCTTTGGTTTCCTCATATTTGTAAATCTATTGCAAGGGTAAGGCGATAAGCTTTAAGGCAAATTTTCAGAACAATGATCGTCAACATAAACTCCCGGCCTCGATATTCGCGGTCCAAGGCTCACACGCCTATGGGTTACTCCCCGGTGATAATATTCCTCACTGACATTTGACATTTTAAATCGAGCAACAAAGCAGACAATCGTCATAATCAATACGAAAAATATTGTTAAATCTGCAACGAACTAATAAAAAATGCAATCTTCAATTCTAAATTTTGAAATATAAACGCAGAATCCACAGTTTTCAACCACACTAACTTATAACGCGGAGCACGAACTATGAGCTTCAATAAAAATTTAGTTGATTTAATGATGAGGAAAACGGAAGAGCATAATTTTATCGGTGTAACTGCCAAATTTCACAATTTATAAACAATAAAAAAGCGATTTTCCCATCCCAATTATTCTATAATTGTAGTTGATTTATCTGTCTGTCTGTTTATTTTTTAAGTGTTAGAAACTTATTAGATCTATAAGATTACTTCTAAATTTCATGTGTATTTTAAAATTATTGTGCAGATGGTAAACTGCTAACAGAAATTTCTTATTTTAAAAATTAATAAAATCTTTCCAAAATATTTTTAAATAAATCTTGTTGAAAAAGTCATCAAGTTGACGCTGATTTTTGTGAACATTATGATTATGAAGTATGCAATAAACCTAAAATTTAATCTATATGACAGCTGACTTTTTTTATATTAAAATTAACATTTTCAAAAAGTCTAACAAATGTGTAAATTGTATAACAATGTGGTTTAATAAAACACATGCGCCGTTCACTAAGTTTTGTTCTATACAAAAAACAACACCAACTTGGTGACTTTTTTAATTGAACACCCTCCTTTACATACTTGTTATTTTAAAATATAAGTTTCCACCACCCAATTTTACAGTTTTAACAAGTGTTATGTCCTATCTGTCATTTTACCGAGATATTAATAAAAAACACGAACAAAGTCAGCCATGGATTTTTTTAAATTTGTCTTTGATCGTTTAACGAGAGTTTATTAACTTCAGTCGTTCCTGCCGATAACGTATACCATAAAACTATGTGCCTTTCAAAACATAAACAATGAACATTTTTCTAGATTATTCTAGAAGATGTTGTAGAAGTAATCAAATTATGATGTAACGTACTCGTATGTAAATGTAAGGCAATGACATTTTCCCATATACTGACTAATAATGTAATTAATTTAGAATATTTTATAGAGAATACAGTACTAAAAAAATGTAACAAATTCAGCACCTCCGTGTTACTTTGGACAGTTCTTTGCCATTTGTTCCCTGTATCAAACAGTTCTGTAAAATGGCTTATACTACGTTAGCCTTTATGAAAAGGAACACCACAGATTTAAAAAAAATATTGAATATCTGAAAATACTTTACAGCTCGTAAATTGTGAATTAAATTAGTGTTGCGTAGTAGAGAAAATTTTTTATGATGTTCAATTCTGTAGAAAATGTGGAAAGTAAATTTTAAATTTTATTTCTTAAAATTATGCAAATCTATCTAGCGTATCCAACTAATGGTTGGAGAATAAATTATTATTATTTACGTAGGTAACAAAATATTGAAAAGGGGAAGTTACAATAAACTACAATATTAATAATATTATCTAATACTGGATCACTTAAAGCTATTAAACTTACGTACTTATTAGCTTCTAACAAACACATTGTAAGTAAAAACTACCCTATTCATCACATTTTATATAGCCGCTACATAAAACATAACTTTTGTTATGCTTTTATCCAAAAGTTGCAAAGTTTTTTATGATTTTTTTTTTACTATAAAGCGTTTGAAAAAATAATCAATAATCACAACCGTTGACTATCTATTTCGCCCTTGTTTTCTACTAATTTAGTTTCTATTTAATAGAAATTTGCATTAAAGAACAAATGATTTGCACCAGACATGCTAATTTATACTGTTATCATTTATCAATCATACATAAAAAATAATAACTATTCACCTTAACACAAAACTTCATCACCAACAGAACATTCACCCACTACTACTACTTTTTCTTTGTAACTTCTGTATTTATGTCCGAAATTAAAGAACAGACCAGTTGTTTAACATTGAACTGCCAAGGTTAATTTAACAGAGTCATCGAAGAAAATATTGAAAAAGGGAAACCCAGGTGAGTTTTTACAACAACAAAACAAACAAGCTTATGTTCAAGGTCGCTGACAAAAACAAACTACAATAAATGAAATAAAGGTGAATATTCGTTAAAGAATTAATATTAAACTGTTCAGAGTAACTGTTATTAAATGACTTCATTCCCAGGTAAGTATATAAAAGTTTATCAGCTAAAATTTACAGAATTCCTAATTTGGTTACGGGACAAAACTTACGTAAACGTTTGTTTTTAATTTTTACTTTGTTTATTTTATATATTACGTTACAAGTACCTACTGTGTTACACCGAACTGAGGCTGAGTATAATAAGTTCCAAGAAGGATTCCGAATATTAAGAAATAAATTAGCTGAAAGCATAAAATTAATAACCGTAATTAAGTTGTTACTCCGAAACCAAAAAAAAATTATAATAATAATAAAATCGAGGCGTTCTGAAAACAACACAAAGAAAACTTTAGAAAACAATCTGAAAAGCGTTTAAGTCTACCTTCGAATTTATTAAAAAATAAATAATAAGAGTACACATATGTTTAAATAAAATAGATAACAATAAATTAGTTGAAAAAAAAAGTTACTATTTTGGTTGCCTTAAAGGAAATAACAGAAATGGTGCAAGGATATTGCTGAAATGATAGATACCCCATTTAACAAGTCTAGACGTGCAAGAGAATTTCTTAGTAATGGTATGAAAAGTTTTCTTAGTTTGTTTCACGAACTCTTTGGTCCTGAAAGAATATAAAAATGTTCACTAGGGATGCGCCACTGGTTAGACTTTAACAAACTGGTAAAAGATCTTGTCTACTTCTTCGATGTTGTAAAATTCGTGTGTTTCAGACGCTACTCAGATTCCGGTGGCACTGTGTACAACTCCTTACTAAAGTCACTAGATCTACTATTACTTTTAGAAAGTACGGCAAACTGCCTGTGGTCGGAATTCGACAGAGAGGAACCTAACCTATGTGTTAAACAAAGATAGCGCGAGGCTAGTAATTTTCGCTATCTGTCAACGAAAGTTTGATGTGTTTACGATTTGAGGTTACGACAGACTGTACTAGAATTATTGAGTTAACGGACCGGAAAGAACACTATTCCAGTCCCAAAGTAACTCCAGCCCTATTCAACGAGAAAGTGTCACCGGTAACCAGCAAACAGTCGTGGAAGACGTGTTACCACCAAGGCAATTGACGGCCAAATGACAGTAACAGGATCGCCATACTGGAAGCAAAAAATACCTGCTGTCGAAAAGACGGAGCATAACAAGGACACAGATATATTTCTATTTCATAAAAGTTACTAATTGCCACACATTTCAAGATCGAGTCACATTACTCCTTACAAAGTGTCAGTATACCTACTTGACAGAAAATTCAAGCGGCAGCCTAACATCTTGACAACAATTACCTACGTCAAGAGATGATTGACTGAAGGAATGCGGAATCATTTAAATAATATAGTTTGCCTTCTTAATTATCGCCGAAAGAATGATGGTGTTCCCCTTTTGAATTCCCAGAAATAACCACTCCTAGATCAATATGAAATTCCAAAGAGGGGTCAAGTGAGTATGGACACTTGGAGTTTATTTTTCTCAGACGTAGAATAAATCATATTTAATGGCATCGATTAACGAGATATCCAGGTTGACAATACTGAGAGATCGCGGCATAGTTAATTAATCGTTACTGGAAAAGAGATTTACGATATGTTAATATGAATTGCTTATATAACGTTTTGAGTACATAACAGCGAAAGAAGATCGGCAACATTATTAAAAAAATTGGTCTAAAGGTATTTAGACAGACCTCGTTTCTACAACACAAGCAGTACATATTAGACAGTATTTTTCAATAAAGATTTATTTAGTAATTTTTGGTAAGAATAAACATATTAATTGTAATACACATAACGTATACCACTGCAACTGAACTTTGTCTTACGAATTTTGTAAAATTTAAAATAATTGTTTCTAAACGAACCAAAAAATTGCAATGCCGGGATTGGAAACCAGACCCTTTACGTTCAAAGCAGACACTCTATTACCATGGTATATTTTTTATATTATAAAAAATAAATTTATTCTTATAATGACAGAGCAACTCCCCTCATGGATCAATAGAATAATAAAACAGCACAAAAAAAATATTCTGCATCTTTAAATGTATTTTAATAAATATTTTTAATATATCACCGAAATCTCAAAAAGTTCCTTAGGTATGTAGATTCGAAGAAAAGTCGTTTCGTTTTAAATAACACCTATTCTTAAATTTAAACATATAAACTAAAGTAAAAATTTGGGATAAATCACCAAATTTTGGGTAGGAATTAACAAACAAATTTGCCATGTCATCTACACCATAATTGCAGTGCCAAATGTTCTTACTTTATAAACTATGAGACGTCGAGAAAACAATAAATAAAATAAACGCATACTAAAACATAAATTTGTGTAGAACATTACCGACATAAACCGTAATGAATAAAAATTTATCGCGGAATTCACAGCTAAAATGTTAGTTGGAAATAGGCATACGCCATACAAAAGAACTTTAAGGTAGTGTAGATGGCAAATCGTGCCTTCCAGGGATTCGTTATAGGTCCATTGCTTTTTATTTTCAGAACATTATCTAGGGTTCTAGGGAAATACAGTAATAGGGTGATTTTAACGAATGTCTAATTTCTTAAGATTGTTTAATGAAATAAAAATATAACAGTGTAGTTAACATTAGGAAAATCCCACGTAGAAAGTACTAGTAAGTATTAATGTCGTTATTAAAGTAATTTTCTGAACCGTTAGATTTTTTACATTCGACATATAATTTAGTGGTCACAAAACTTATTTACTTTTGACAGTATCTATACAAACGAGTGACACAAAGGTATAGTAATGCCTAGATACTATTCAACTAATTACAATTATTATAATCTACATTTATTTTGAGTGACCGCGGTGAAAGTGGGTTTTCAAAGTATAGGTCACAAACGTTAAAACCACGTTTATCCGCTTAAATTAACAATGACGTCAACAATCACTTATTTCTCCAGTTGCATTAGGTGAATTCTTCAAAGTCGTTTGCAGACATTTGCAAATTAAATTTTCTTTAATGACCTTTGGTTTTTAAAACTAGTAAATGAAATTTTTTACAAGCAGTAACAGCCTGCTGTGTGCTACAGTCTATGCAAGAATTAATTAATTTTAAAGTAGATTTAACTTACTTTAATTTGCAATAGTTTATTTTTATTAAAGAAGGACAGCATACAGCATGACTCCAAGTTAGTTTATTCTCACAACTGAAAGCTAAAACATAAAAATAGGCTTAAAAACCTGTTCTGTAAAACTATGAGAACCCTGCCACCCTGGGTTGTGTATTTTTTGTTTTTTAACGGTGGAATGCATTCAAGTGCAAAGTGTGAACCCAGAGGTTGGAAAACTGACCTTAAATCAAAATGCAAAATGTGGAGGGTAAATCGTTTATAACTCCTTCCTGGGAAGGAAAAAGCTGCGGAATAAGCCTTAATCAACTTACTCACCCAGCTGCAAAAATCTCCCCAGGTTTCAAAAACCAAATACTTATTACAAATTGATACAGATATTTAAGCCTCATAAATTTAAACAAACGAAAAAGAGAGAAATCTTAATTAAAGGTGGGTGGTTATTATATCATAAATGGTTGACCTAACGAAAATTAGACTCGAAGAACCAGGTTACAATGGATGACCAATATGATGGGTCACAATGTGTGACCAAAAATGAAAGTATTAATATAGCCTCTGTTCTGTGAGACACGACTTTATTCTATGACGGTTTATTCTCGAATCTACAAAATGTGTACATTTATTTTCAAAAGTGAAAAGTGGTGGATCGGTGTACCTGGGTGGACCGAACAATGGTAATACGTAATACTCAAGTCATTACAGTGATGGGGCGGCAAATTTAAACATGAAGATTCGAGTTCAACAAACGAAGCTGAGTGAAGAAAACAAACTACAACACGCAACGCACGTTTAACACTCGCATTCCTGAGGCTACCATCCATTCTCCCAAAGGAAGAAACCAAGTAGGCGGCCTGATTTACAACAGCGAAATCCGAAATTGCAGATAAACATTCACATGAATTGTGATAGTCGTGGTTCAGTTCCTGCACCACGCGATCACGTACATTTATTTCGGTTAAAATTGAGATCTCCCGAATTTTGACGATAGCGCAATAACAAAATTTAATGACGCCACACTCTATCAAGAGTTTGTTAAATTATGCATTAATTCAACTAACTGATAAATCAAATAAAAGTTCATCAAGATTACATCGTGGACTGAACAATTCCGTATCACATAAAACAAAGCACATATGAAATAAATACAATAGGCACACATTGAATACGATCAATTAGGATATTAATTTAGCTGATCATAATTTTCGAAATTTTTTCCTCAAAATGGATCAATGTTTAAGATTAGTTTCAATTCCGTAAATGGACTATTTTATGTCTCCCTAAATCATCTAAAACCTTTAATATGGTTAATAAAATAAATTAAGCCCAAATAAGTGAATTTCGGTCACGTGTTTTGTGTACACATTATTGCGGCAAAATATTCTTACGACCATGAACGGTTAAAAGTCCTAACGTGCAGTGTGAATTTACAAATAGTGAAATAAAAATTATAACCGTCAAAAATTGCACAACATGATAGATTAGAAAATCGTTAATAATAATAGTTTATGTAACGAATGTTGAAAAGTGAGCATAATGTGACGAGCGTTAATGTGACACGAGAGCGAAGCTCGAGTGTTGCATGGGAGTGATTTACGCTATGCTCGTTTTCAGATGAGTAATATACAACATTTGCGTGTTGCCTTATTATAAAATTCAATAACGTAGATGTGTTTTTTTACATCTGTTTTTAAAAGATAGTAAAACATTCTGGAGAGATTCTAATTTTTAATGCAAGCGTTAAGTACTTTTTACTTTGCAGCACGCGTGTTGCAAAGTAATATCGTAATGTCTCTAGCAGCGCTATCACGACAGAGACAACACGAAAACTGATCTTATCGGGTCTTACATTTATTATACTTGCTGCAGGAGGAGCGTGGCATCAAATGCGATTTCATTTTGTTTAAACAATCGCCCTTTAATAAAACTACAAACAAAATTCTATGTACGAATTTTAACACGGTTTATACGGCACTACCAACTAACTAAAAACTAATTTTACCCTATTATACCCAGTTTTACCTACACTCTCCATTCCAACTCCTAAGCTGCTAACCTACATCTATGGTAAGATTAGCTAATTCCATAAACGCGCGAACGTGATTACCTATGTTATTGAAATAGTTTTTTTATTTTTCAACTGCGGTTTCGCATATAATTTTATGCCTTAATTGTTAGTAGAAGCACGTTTCATATATTTCATATAAAGAAACATATACGTAGATATAATATTAACAACATATTTTTTGTTGTTTTGGTAATTACAATATTTCATTCAATCAAAAAACAATCTATACCTACATACACACTACAACTGGAAATTCAGTTATATTCAGGTAATCCTTTTAATTATACACATGTATATCTTCTTCAAATATTAGATAAGCACGATAAGTGTGATAACAAATCCGTAATAGACTTTTAGCAACTGATATTGTCATATCCCTTAAAATGAACAAAATTAGTTGTAATGACTTTGAGGTTAAGGTTCCATCTTCATTACTGGCCAATTTTAACAGCAGTTTGGATTTCACTTGCATTTATTATATGGTAAGTAAAATTATTTTGTTTACATAATGAGATTTTAAAATTGTTTGTTTCCTGTCTTTCATGAGTCTGGAAACTATAAACTAATTTATTCTTGCCTTGGAAGTGTGTTATTTATACCTTACATTATATTATAGAGAATAGTTATAAAATAATGTTCTAAACACAGTACACGTAAGTATGTATATGCATAAATCTAGTAAATCAAAGTGTAGGTAAAGAATATTTTTTACTTACAATATTTTAGCAAATATTATTTTCCTTGGACTACTGAACCCAAAATGTAGTACAAGGGATTTAAAAGAAAAAATAATAAGTTCATGTTTGTCATTAATTTTATGTTTATGCTTCACGAATGGTAGAATAATTATAAATGTCTGTCCAAAGTAAAATTTATTCAAAAAGTATACACGTACTTTTGGGAATAAAAACCATTATATTTTATTTTAATGGCATCACACCAAATACTTTTAACTGTAAAATAAACAAGTGCAAATAGTAGTAAGCGATATGTTACGAAAATTTAAAGATTAATGTAGAAAAAGTAGGGGCTACTCGACTTTTCACATTTGATTCTATACTTTAGTGAATCTGTTTCAAAAGGATTAAATTACGTATAAATAAAGCTTCCAGATTTAGTATCATACAGAATTGAGAGATAGTGTTGGCTCTTACTCTTCTAACATGGAAAATTGTGCAAATGAAATTATATATACGTCAAAAATGAAATATTCGGACAACGTTTTAATACAGAGGCAAAAATTTCAAAAATGTTTTGTCCGAAGAAATAAAGGTGACGTTCTAAACACAAACATTTACACTAATCTTTCAAACATAATTGATTTTATTAATACACAGTATCAGAAATACCTAATATTCTGGCCTGGTCATCAATTATGTACCTAAACAAGGCACATGCCACCAGAAAAATGTACGATGACAGTGAGAAATCTAAAATCAACAACAATTACAGACAATATTTCAAAAGACAAGAGAAATAAATTTTAAATTTGTCCAAAAAACACTGAGCCAAATTCTAAGGAAGTTCCCGTAATTTAGAGATAATAGTCTTCCATCACTTTTGTAAAATTAATTTCTTTTCGGATGTAGGAAAAACCCGATGTGTTCTTGCATCAAAGAGTAGTAAAATTTTCATGTTACGTATCAATAAGAATTTTACAGATATTTGTTTAAGAGCCCTAGGGCTGGTTTATAGAAAAGCGAATTAAATATTTATTCCTCGATTAATTTAGCTCAGAATCAAAATGTGGAATATGAGCCCAGGATTGGTTAAAACATGCACGTTTCCTAGCAACGGACCTAAGTTAAAAGTTAGTCGTGGATTAACTTTAATTTCGCTTTCTATAAATCGGGTCCTAATTTCTTTCCTCGAACTCATATTATGTACATACCAATCTTGTCACAACAAACTGATAAATAGAATGGGTTTCATGTATAAATTTGTGCCTATTCAGAGAATCGCTACTATCTACAAAATTTATACAGATAAAAAACTACTCACTCGATATATATAAATAGACAAAGCAATGAAAAGATAGTTTCCACCTCCTTTGGTCTTATCAGTACAGCACATTTCAGTAGATATACCTAATATTACATTAAAGAAAGCAAATTAATATGTGGGATAAAGAAAACTTTCTAACATTCAGTTTAAATAAAAAATTATATGGAAAATAACTTGTTCCAATAACTTTCCGCAGATTCACACCTAAAATAAGAATACAATATCTATAACTTAAACAAAAAATTACACAAAATAAAAATTATGGAGCTGGTTCAAACAAACTTTTCATATTATTTTCTATAATCTCTTTAAGTTTGTATTTGCGATAGCACATTACTTCTCCGAAGTTTTCTATTAGCATTGCCGATAAAGAGATATGTATTTTACTTTGATTTAGTAGGTGAAAATTTCAGTAAAATGTAGGACATTAATCAGCAGATAATATTTTGATTATTAGTAAAAATAATGATGTTCACTGAAGGTACAACAGTAACTTGTGATATTTAGCAGCTAACTTGTCTGGCAAATTAAGAACCAAAATAATTCTTTTTTATGTTGGCGAAAATATTCTTAACTCCATTTAATAGTCTCTATACATCTTTCTATTAAAATAAAGTGTATTATGTCGTTATTCTCGCATTCATTTTCTCAAAATAAATACCTCAATCGTCGGTAGTCTGAAACCTAAGAAAAACGGATTTCTATTTTAAGCATTGCTTAAATTTCTTGTTTCAATTTAAACTTAGGGGTCTCTCTGGAGCGATCTTGAGTAAGAGACTATAATTATTTCATATATGATTCAAGTAAACCTGCGATGTTCATAATCGACAACCTTAGAGTTTGCATCGAGTTAGAATTAGATCATGAAAGTAAATTATAATGGCAGTTTTAATGCTATCTATTCTATTTTCTAAAATACTGAATACTCCTTTAGGAAAAGACCTAATACCTACTCAACCTGTCGTTACAAAAATGTCTCATTGCATGAGTTATTTACGAGAATATGAAAAAGTGAAAAGTTAAACCATAATAAATATACTCAAAAGATTTTTATTGTCACATCTCAGTTCAAAAGATATGCGTATTTTATCCAGTACCAAGAAATAAATAACAGATTTATATTTAAACATAAAACGTTTGAGACGACGAATACGTGCGATGTTACATCTACAACACTTTAATCTTCAACGTGTTCTTTCCACTTAATATTTCACATAGATTTTACTCCTCGTAGATAAATTCATTAATAACGAAGTAAGGTATTACCTCTTAAATACAGTTTGTGGCATCTACGGTAGTTTAAAGTAACAAAACTTTGTAATCTGTGACTCTCCAGAAAAGTCTGGTTGATTAACTCTAAAAAATAAGTCGACTGTATTGTTACGAAATAAACCCATACATCACCCCGGTAAGACTCATCATCACCGACGGCGGCGCTTGCATAAACTACCTACCTCGAAATAGTTAATTTATGGACTCTTAACTAAAGAAAAATCTGGAAGCGGAAGCCACGATGGACACTCCAGAACAACCTCGATTGCGAAATCTCTAGAAAGGAGCGGTGGCTGCTTAAATAAAGACCATCGCTAGGAACAGCCAGTCGAGTACAATGAATGAGTACGAATCAGGCTGAGTCGGAATTATTGTGTATATTATCGCTGCATAGTTAGTCGTGTAAATTAGTATTACTGAGGAATACATTGTTGCATCTTTTTATAATGTGGAATTTAGAAAGCAAAACTAATTTTATCTGATTTTTAAGTTATTTAGTGGCCATCTTCGACCAACATGTACATCCACTGTTTCCTTACATCAGTGACACTGGTGCCTTACCTCCCGAGAGCTGTATTTTCGGACAAATGCTAAACATAGCTGCTTGTTTAAGTAATTCTTCCACTATTGCCTAATTAGATTATAAATACAGTTTTCTTTTAGTGTTTATTACAATGTACATTCGATTTCGAACAGTTCAACTCCTCGAACATGTAGGATTTTCGAAGAATTACAAATTCTGGAATAAATTCTCCAACATATTTGGCTTTTTTTCTTGTCTAGGGATAAGCTTAGTCGCAAACTTTCAAGAGACATCCGAGATAACTGTTCATTTTATTGGTGCATTTCTCGCGTTTGCGGTCGGAGCAGTATATTGTATTATTCAGGTAAGTCCCATTACATACAAACGAGTTAACTTCCGAACTTATCTCCACAAATTAAAACTGTTCTGTCCTGCAACAACATCGAATAGATAATGTTTTCAAACCATGTCAGGTCATCTGGTCACTACTAAATATTTCAATTTTAGGCATATTTAACATGGTTATCGTTCTCAAGCAAACGTCTGAAGCTCATTCGAATACTTTTAAGCCTGCTGTTAATTCCCTTGTATATCACCACCACAGTTTGCAGCGCGTTATCATTCAAAGAATTCAATGGTTGTATGAAATAGATTTCAGCGTTTTGTTATTGTATTGATAATTTGTTACAGAGAACGCGTTTAAATGGAAGCACACCGATAAAGGATATACGCTACACTTATTCGCAACATTTACTGAATGGATTATGGCAGTATTAATGATCCTCTATATGGCAACATTCTACGTCGAATTTAGATTAGTCAAGTTTGGAGGACTCACTTTCGTGTTGGAAGATGATAAATGATCTGTAGATATCTGACAGTATCTTTCAATGTATTTATTTCCACATTTAAAAAAATTATGTGCTCTAATAAAATACGTGTAATAAGTAAATATCACTAAAAAATCAGTTAAGTGAATGGGTTACCTGTGATCATTTTTATAATTATACATTTGATACTTCCCGTGTAAGTAATTAAAAAAATTGAATAAAAGAATGATACTGAATTAAAATTACTACAAATTATGAATCGCCTACTTATTAGTGTTCACTAAAAGGAATCCAACCACTGGACCATCGTTGAGAAAAATACGTATGTAGTTGCAGGGGACTATGCAGAAAAGTAGTAATGTAATTTTTATTATATCTTATGTTTTTGTATATCAGGGACCGTAAAAACTGATCTTCATGGTAAGTAAAAAATATTTTTTTAAAAGTATATCATATAGTACCTATTAGTCCTACCTACCACTAGCATCATATGTAAACCTGAAATGAAAAATTATGTTTATATTTTCGAGTAGATATCGTCATCACATTACTTGCGCGCTTAAAGTGATATAGCGCCAAACATGTGAAGCAGGCTTGGCAATAGCAGCGCAAGCAAATTCTCTCAAAAGTGGTTAATTCTATTGTCGACTTAAACAGTACTTGTTGATCACGCTGTAGATGTTTCTTCATCGTAGCAAAAGCTTAAAGCGGCAAAGATACTGAGTAACAAAAGTAAAAGAACACCAAGAAGGAATTTTGTAATGAAATTTTACCTACAGGGTAAGTATTGTTAAACTAAGAATTGATTAGAACTTCAATGTTATCTGTCGAGTAATTTTAAGAAAAAAATATTTTCTTCTGATACGCTGTGGAAGTACACGTCGTAGGATTGACCTAATGCGATCATCAATGTCCTCGTGGGGCATTCGACCTCTCTCAAAGTCTCAAAGATGTCTAAAATTTGGACTACGACGCACTGTAGGCCTTGTGACAAACACTTCAAACATAATGTAACGGAAATGGTCAAATATGCCACACATACCACTATAAGTTTTCTTCAGCGTAGAGAAAAAAAAATGTTTTTATTAAAACTACTGGATAGTTAACATTGAAATTCTAATCAATTCTTATTTTGAAAACCCTTAATCTGTATATTATAAAATTTCATTCCAAAATCGTGGTTCCTTTTTGGTGTTTTTACCCAATATAGATGACCTTTTTTAGAGGAAGTCAATTTCAAGTTGATTTAACGACGCGACGTCGCAAAACTGCGTTGCTATGGGTGATGTCGCAAACATCTTAAGACTTTTGCGATATCAATGATATCATCATAGCAACGTGGCTTTACGACGTCGCTAAATCAACTTGAAAGTGCGCCCAAATCCACCTACAACGTTTATAATAAATAATAACCATGTATTTGCGATTATTTTTATTAAAAACGTTACTGTATTTCAAAATAAATTTGTGTTTGTTGAACTTAATCATCTTTTAACTTTATACGTATTTTTTGGTCTACACAATTTTTGAATGCCGCCACAATAAATATTAATGCTTTGGAAACAAAAGCGTTCAGAACCAAAATTAATAACAGAAAAACGTTTCCCATATTGTACTGTGGCGATTTAGAAGAGTTTCGACGCTTCGCCCCCTTTCCTAAAATATTATTTTCAGCAACTCCATCTCTTTCGAATTTTTGAAATATATAAAAGTCCGATGAAGTGAAATCTGGCGAACATGAAGTAAATGTACCCACCATACCATCCGTATACATTCAAAAACAGCCACTTAATTAATTACCGACCGATACTGAAGTTTGTGTCTAAATATCTACTATTTATAAAAGCACAGTGTGAAATCGGCTAAACTTTTTGGCGCTAAAATTGGAGGAATTATTTCTCCACCGACATACTCGTTGCCATTGCAAAAGTTTTCGGTTTTGTTTTGAGAGGGTTTCAAGGCTTAAACACTTATCAACTCCCCCTCGTAAATACCATAATGAATCAATGATGTTTATCAAAGACACAGAAGTGCACGTTATAAGTAATAAACAGGATGTTGAAACACGCTTCGTTGTTATCAAAATTTAAAATTTAAAAACAAATTTAACAAATGCGGATTATGCGTTGCATAATATTTAAAGTAACGCCAAATTAAATAAGTATATTGGTTTTTCAACAATTTATCTTTAAAAATACAACTGAAAACATAAACGATAAATTTCCAAAGATACGCGAAACGAATGTTCAACAGATAACGAAAACATATTCAGTCTCATTTTACATATTACAATAACGTTTTACCATAATTGTTTACATACATAACATTGTCACAACGTGTGCATAAATAGTGTTGTCCTTATATCTCCATATTGCTCTTCAATTACCCACAAGCATAATATTGTGATACTTCAACTACCAGTTTCATTTACTGAAAAACGTAAACAAAACCTTTAAAATATAAAAGGAAAAAACATCAGGAAGCGAACAAAAACCTTAACCTAGTATTACATTTTGTCTCCATATTTATAATATTGTAAAACAATTACATAATATAATATCAGAATTTCTTCTTCTGCATTTTTTAATAGTTCTAGTAGTATTCTGGTAAAATAACGAAAAAATCTGAAATTGTTCTACCTATCAAGGAATTTTAATTGTACATACGTAAATATGTACTAATCATTTATTTACCCATACTGATAACTTATTTGGAAATTAATTGCACATGTTGAAGAATTCATTTGAACTTTGATTTAAGTAAAAAAGAAGATTGTTTTGTTAATGCAGATCAGCATACGAAAAATATACATTCGTGTCCCATTAATTAAGATTGCTTTTATTGCGCATTAAATTTTAACTGGAAAATTTAGTATAAAATATTTTGAAGCAAAACATCTTGTTATTAGATTACCTATTACACACTCAGCGCCATCAAATGTCTTACTAAGAAACAACAAGTTTCAATCAATAAAATAAAAGTAACCTACAATCTACAATATTTGCATGAGCATTATTTTAAAAATAACAAGGAAGGAACATGTTTGCTACAATTCATTATACCAATTGATTTTAACTAGTAAACTTTACTGATAATTAAGCTTGCCTTTGAGGACAGTCACGGACATTGTCGCCACAGATATTGTATCCAGATTTGTCAAAAATTAGTTCGGTGGGGCTGTCTCACTGTGAACGCAAGTTTACACTTACGTTCTTACATATTTATTTTATGATTAACTAATAGTTACATAGGTACCTCACCTGCATCATTTCAAACCTATCAGTATTGTATTACATATTTATACAGGGTGTTATGTAAATATACAAAAAGAAAAAATCTGGCGAATCTGATGATCCCTAAAAGTTAAATAAACGTTTGTTATCTAACAATTTAACCTCACAATAATTTTAACGGCTATTTTTGAAACCTTAGCAACTAAAGAGTGGTGATGTGCAACCATTGACTTCGGTACACTAACCTTTTCATGTAACCTCATAGAAAGAAATCACAAGCGTTAAGATCAGATGATCGGGGAGACCACAGAACCTGTCCATTTCTTCCGATCCATTTTTCAGGAAAGTTCAATCTCTCACCTCTCTTGCGTTATGAGCAGGCGCCCCATCATGGAGATACCACATATCTTTTCTTGTTGACAGCGGTACTTCCTCCAAAACGTTTGCCAAATTATTGGTCAAAAAACCAAATAAGCATGAGCTGTTAACCGACAGGGTAGTACGTAGGAGCCTATCAATTGGTTTCCAACTATACCTGCCCATACGTTTACCGAAAATCGATCTTAAAAATTCTTGAATTGCATGTGGGTTTTCATCACACCAAAGATAGATATTCTATGTAACGTACAAAAGTTGTATTATATTTTTGAGAAGTGTGGCCGTCAACAACTAAAAATGTTGACACAGTGGCAGTTTAAAAATAGGGACTTCACTGGAGTTTTGCACTAACGTATCGATGCTTATGAAAAATTTTTGCGACATATGAAGAATAAAACATTGGTAAGATAAAAATTAGAATAAGCAAATATTGTTTGGTCACTAATATATGAAACTAGCTGACCCCGTCAACTTCGTTTCACCTACAATTTAATTTTGAACCTGCAAAATCGAATGCTTTGAAATTTTGCAGATGTTTTAAACATATGATAAGCATAATAAATTTTTATTCAAAATATATTTACTTATCCCCTCCAAAAAATTGATGACGTCAGCCCAAAATTTTGCCAAATGAATCCTATCTAAAATGTCCAAAATAGGATGAGACTATACTTGTGATTTATCATTCCATTCATATTTTTTAGTTTTGCTTATAGGGGCTGTCTCAAAAAAATTAATCACTGAGTCAATTTATTTTATTGATTGAATCAAGAATTGCAAAACTGAATTTTGAAATATTGCAGACGTTTTGAAGTTACTGTTTGACATGGTAGGTTTTCAATCAAAATATATTAGTTTATCAAGCCCAAAAACTTGAAGACGTCATCCCAAGATTTTGCCGAATAAATCCTATCTAAAATGTAGAAAACATCATCAGTATATTTTCGTAATTTATCATTGCATTCATATTTTTTAGATTTGCTTTTACAGTGACTCAAAAAAATATATGGATCAGTCAATTTATTTTAGTGAATAACACAAGAGTTGCAAAAATGAATACTTTGAGATCTTGCAGACGTTTTAAAGTTATTGTAAGCATGGTAAATTGTTAAGAATATTTATTTATTCCCCCCAAAAAATTGATGGAATGGCTCACTCGATTTTCGCAGATAATTTTGGGAATACAATACAGTTATTTTTAGTATTACACTGCACCAATCCAAGGTGGTATACGTCTTGATAGTAAATGTTGATTAGGTCATCACAAAATTGTGTGAAGAACAGACTCAACTCGAAAATGCTGAATAGGTTTCATTATACTTTTGGTGCGAAGGAAGTTCTGTCGAAACAACGTTCGATCAATTTTTTGACAATGGTTGATATAAATAAAACTCAGTAGATGCTCATACTCGAAATACGAAGTATCTACTCGAATATCAAATCAAAATATTTCTAATTTTTCTAGATGATACTAATACTTCAGTAAGAAGTAACAGTTGATGCTCAAGTAGCATCTCGATACAACAAAAAAGGACAACAGTGACAGTGTTCAACCATCAAGGCAAAAATCGAGTCACCAAAATATAAGTTAGCATGGGGTAGACACCTTTTAGATGGGAATCTCTATGGCCATTGTTAGAAAAA